GGGGGGGTTGTTATACAATAACGTTATCGCGAAATACTGGCGCGGAGATCTTGACTTCTTGACTGCTAAAAATGTGTTGGTCATGATATGACGCACATTTTTGAAGTCACATTCTGTTGTGAGTGGTAGGCGGGGCTTCTCTTTCTCCTCCCTCGCTTCGAACACTTCGCCCCGCCCATTTCAGACTGCGCCCCGCTGCGTGACGCTGAGGTGGGCGTGGCTTGTTGAGAATTTTTCCTCCGACGTTCTGTCACTTCCTTTTTGAGAAGGAGAAGAACCTCGGAGTGGTGGTAGCGGGCAGCGGCGTCTTCCAGGTTCATGGGAGTCATCGACTCGAACGAGTTATTTCTCACAGATCTGCGGAAAGCAAGGACATGTTTTTTACGCCCCCATTGACTTGGTTTATTTTTATTTTATTTATTTATTGTTTGTTTGAGTGAAGAGAAGCACATCGACACTACGGTCATTTAGTGCTGGGGAATAGTAAGATATACAGACTGAAACAACAGAGGAGAAGTAAAGAAGGACCGAACACCCAAGCCCCCCATCAACATTAGGTCTAAAAAGAATGTTGGTTGTTTTTTTTTAATGTAGGCTATTTCAGACAAGCAGATGGCTTCAACCCCACCTGTCAAGGTCAATCTGTACTGAGAGGGACACAACGTCGAAAAATCATTATCATTATGATAATTATTTTATCCCACCACGAAGTGTAACGGATAAACTCACTTGTGGCGAAGCGTAACCGATTAACTTCTTCATTTTCTTCTTCTACCCCGTGGTTGGGGCAACCGTGGGGGCACCACTGCATCTGACAACCAGCTCGCGCCATTTCTCTTTATCCTCTACTTTCGTCAGATTGTCTCCCATCATCTTCCCTGTCCACTCTGTGATGTTGTCCTCCCATCTCCTCCTCTGCCTTCCTCTCTTTCTCTTTCCTTTTACAGTTCCTTGAGGGATTGTTTTGGCAAGTCCTGTGGATCTCGCGACATGCCCTTACCATTTTAATTTCGTCCCTTCACTGTGGTCAGAAGATCCCCATGTTGCCCCACTGCGTTTGTGATTCTGTTCCGTACCTCAGCATTGGAAATGTGGTCTTTGTACGAGATGTCAAGGAGTCTGCTGTAACATATTATTATCTCTGTTGCCTGAATGCTTTTCTCTAATTCTGCTGTCAGTGTCCAAGACTCACAGGCGTATAAAAATATTGAGATGACCAGTGAGCGCATCAGTCTGATCTTCGAGTTGAGCGTGATGTTTATGACCTTCCAAATAGTCTTCAGATAAACTAGCCGACTGATAAACTCAACAATCGCGAAGTGTATCCAATAAACAAGCAGACTCATAAACTCGCCTATCGCGAAGTGTGTAAATAACCGATAAACTCACTTATCGCAAAGTGTGTAAGTAACCGAAAAGTGTAAGTAGCCGATAAACTCACCTATGCAGAAGTGCGCAATAAGTAACCGATAAACTCACCTATGCAGAAGTGTGCAATAAGTAACCGATAAACTCACTCATCACGAAGCGTATAGTAAGTAACCGATAATCTCACCCATCACGAAAAGTGTAAAATAAGTAACCGATAAACTCACCGATCAAAAGTGTGTAATAAATAACCGATAAACTCACTCACCTGTCACAGGTGTGGATGTCCGCCTCCTGGTGACACAGCAGTCCCCTTGCGCGGTCCGCGTCGCCAGCCAGCACGGCGTGAGCCAGCTCTATAGAGGCTTCGTGTTGGACCATCAGGTCGGCCGATAGGGCCGCCGTCTCTCCGGGGATCTGTCGTGTGTACTCTACCAGGCTCTGACCGCCGCGCGACACGTTTACGCGGCACCAGGAGCGGACCAGTTGTCTGACCTGAGGAGTGGGTGGTTAAGTTTTAGTTTTAGTAAGAGTTTTTGTTTAGTTTTACAAGAGGTTTTACGGCGCTCGCAACTGCATAAGGTCAATATGAGCGCCAAGGGTTGGATGTCAACAGAGAAGTCCTTACATGGAATCAGACTTGCTCTGCTCACCTCTCTAGCTTCAACAGCACAGAGTCTGCTTCGACTTTCAAGACACCTCGGAAATAGCGGGTCACAAGAGTGTGACAAACATACAAAAAATGTAGAGGATAAATGACGATAGTAATAGTAAGCGTTAG